GTTTGAGGTTCGAGTGAATGCCGGTTGCACAGGTTCTGCCCAATATATAGCCGGTCCGACTCGGCTGCGACCTTGAACCGCTACGACTCTTTTTTTTTGCTATAAACCGACCGCTGCTGCTCTACATGCAACGAAAGCATTGATTTTTGCAACACGAAAGGAGAATGTATACCTAACCGGATCAGAAAACGTGTAAAATAATTCATGCTTCTCTCATGAGCTCCTTACTAGAATGTTGTGAATCTGTAATACAACTCCTGTTTATTTTTTCTTTTGTCTATTGATATTTGTGAAATTCTTATACGTATACCTTATTAGCACAATTTGTGGTATAAAAAATATAGATGAAATTAAAATTAATGTAAAATCAAACGGTTGATATTTCTTTGTGTAATCACTTATCGTGTTAAAATTATCATACAGGAGATGAATTAGTTTAGGAAAACCTGTGGCCAAAAAAAAAAAAAAATAAAATAAATAAAAAACTCGAAATCTTTTCAGTGCAAGAAGAGAAAATTGGCAACATCTGAAGATATTTCGGCCGATCTTTGAAAGTAAAATATCAGAGAAAATATATGCAGAAGATTCAGGTCCAGATAATTTTTAAAGATTCCTTCATTCCAAAAGCTAAACCGTTCGATCGCCAATTCAAATTACGAACAATACTTATCCCTCATGGTTCGAAAATTACACTGTTTCATTAAGCGAAAGATGTAACAGATGGAAAGGAACACGGGATCCCATTTTCAACATAAAACGTCAATAGAAAGAACTATTGTTTATTGTGTGTGTGTGTGCGTGTGTATTTACTTATCAAATTATATTTACAAACACACACATAAATATGCGTGTGTGTTTATATTTACAAACATACGCACGTGTGTGTGTGCTTGTGTGTGTATGTGTGTGTGTGTGTGTGTGTGTGTGTGTGTGTATATGTATTCCGTAATGGGTTTGTCAGTAAGACACCGAATTGTAAGAAAGAAGACGCCGATCAACACGGCCGTTTCGATGGTGTCACGGACCTTCATTATCAATGCTGTAACAGAGTACCAGACAATATGGTCATTAGACAAATTATACAGATGTTCTTGTTTTTAAAATAATACGTAACTGAATAATGAAATAAAAAAGTCTTACACAATTATATTAACAGACAATGCATACGAAATACGTAAGCTCAATAGCAGTATATATGTGACATGAAACATAAGTACGTGGAACGTGCAAAAGTAATGAAATACTATTTAAACCAAAGTGGGTGTTCATGGGGAGAGGCAATTTAGTGGGCAAACAAGGCAGTTGCTATGGTTGCGTCGTTCAGTTCTGGTTTCATCTTTTTTATAAACAGATTATGAGGTGACGAGGTCTTGGCAGGAGTGAAGAGGACAAAATACTAAAATCTGTGTTAGAAAAAAGGTGTGAGTGTTGTGTTGAATGCTCTCTTATTGCCGAGAAAGATGGTTTGCTCGGCAGAAATCCAGTCCTATTGGACTTGGTTTTGTGTTTTCAAAGATACAGTGACGTAGAGAGTATACGTGGGTTGATGCCACATGTACAGTAGTTATGACTTGTTAAAAAAGAGATTGAACTAAATAACTAAGAAGAAAGTGATTCACGGTAAGTGAACATGGCAACTAACTACTAGCCACGGCCCCTTCTCAAATCCAGTCACCTTTAAGGGGTGTTGCAACTTATTATCACGACGCTACAAACGGTCTATGAGGTCTCCATTGCTATAATTGGCATGGTGCGAGACCCTTATCATATAAATTCAGAAACATTATTTGAACACACTCTGAAGCTTAATCGGTTCCGAGCTTTGAAAACAAGTACCGAATCAAGCCGAGTAAAGATACATATTTTTAGTGAGTGTACCTATCTTGGGAGCTAGGACAGGTATATATGTAAACCACATTAAAATGTAAGTCAGAGCTGTAGTTCATAGACTATCTTTTGAACCCTGCCATAATGTTACTGAAAACAGAAGTAAACTTAATGTGGGGGAATTGTATTGCAAGAGTGTTTTAATTGCTTCATGATTCCAAAGATTAAATCACCCAAATAAGGCAGTTTAGCATATTTATGGTCTCGTTTGGCAGTAGAGACAGTTTATTGGTTTGTGAATTTCTCATACAAAAAAGTTTTAATTACTTTATCAAGCAACTGTAATGGGTTGTTATTATTATTTTTAATGACATTTCATTTTGAAAGGCGGTATAGGTGCTGTCTAAATTGTAGGTCCTAGGAATTAGAGTTTTAGCAATATAATATATGGGGTAAACCTGAGAACGTGTAGGCCAAGGCCAGTGAAGGTTGGTTTACGGTAACTGCTACTTTGAAAAATATCATTATTGGTGACCATAGTATCTAAAAGGGACAGTTGGTTGTCCGCCCACAGGTAAATTTGATGCTAAGGTGTTTGGTATATAGATAATCTAGGCAAAGGTAAACAGTGAAGGATATTTAAAAAGCAGAAAAGTGTCGTCGATGTACCGGCGATAATGTAGAGCATTGAATTCAGGCAGGCATTGCTCTAGCCAGTTTTCATTATAAAAGTATTGGCATAGGATGGGCTGGTGGATGGTTCATGGCTACACTATATGTTTGCGTATATAGGCTATCAGTAATGACTGTAATTTCCAGTGTTTTTTTTATTAACTTTATCTAAACCAAATTTGTCAAGATGAATACCGTCAAGGTTTTTATTTATTAACTCTAGTTATTAAAGCAAGCCTTCCCCTCGCCAGGTGATCTCACCAGCGAAGCCACAGATGACCTGCAGGCGGCCATCGGGGAGCTGCACTTAATAGGATCCCCGAGTGTCGTCGCCGTCGCAGGCCCCCTGGTGTCCGAACCTTCGCGCACGGTCTAGTTGAAGCTGTACTTGGCTTCGGAAGATTCGTAGGATTCCTCGGAAGACTCAGAGACTTCCTAGGGAGACCATGGAAATAATTTCTATGTGAATTTTAAGTGTACTTACATAAAATGAAGTGGGCGTTCAATTTATTTCTTCATTTATACATTAATTGTTATCGTTTTCATTGTCATTATCATTGCATTTATCATTTTCAATATTATCCTCCTTGTTATGCTCATTATTATTATCATCCTTATTCTTACAATTATTATCATACTTCATTATCATTATTATTGCTATTATTGTTACTATTATTATTATTATCATTTTAATTCTTATTCTTATTCTTATCATAATTATCATATATTAACATTGTTATTATTAATGATGATGTTATTAATGAGTCCTTATTATCGTTATCACCATTGTTGTCGCTTTTGCTGTTTTGTATCTGGACATATTGATTTTTCCCTTACCAAAACGTCTTTCGTAAGAAAATTATCCAGTAGATAGACAATACAGATTTCTTACTGAACATATATCCAGGATAAAAAATCTCACTGTCTGCAGCAACGTCGCCTCAGAGAGAGCCAAATGACGACCTCAGAATGAAACAACCCAACAAACCAACAAAAAACAGCAAAATGTGCGACACCACTTAAGAGTAGAGAATGTCACACTTAAAGATATAACCTAATAAGGAACACAATCTTACGAGAGCTTAAGGATCCGTCTTTGTGTCCCTCACTCTACCGAGGCGGGGGCGGTCGGGACCCTGAGGAGCCCAAGGGTCAGGTTTTTATGAGATTACTGACCCAGAACCGACCGTTGCTGGACTACTTGCAGTTATGCTAAGACCACTTGCATGCTATATAAGAAGAGTTATTTCAGGCGATGATGACGACATTGATTTCGACACGTATATTTACACACATTAGATTAATGAGTGTTTGGATAAAGCTACATCTTTAAGGGCACACATAGGTCCGTGCATCATAATATGCACACCCAGCCATCTATATTTACACACACACACGCACTCACACTCACACTAACACTCACACTCACGCTTATACTCACATCCACATACGCACACATATATTATATGTATGTTGGTATATATATATGTACTCACACACACGCACACACACACACACACATATATATGTATATATATATATATATATATATATATATATATATATATATATATATATATGATATATACCTTTTAACTACTTGATAGTAAATTGAAGAATAAAATTTATTTTGAGGTGCATTTACTAATTACATATTAATGATTTGATAATATAATATATAAAAGCAACCCGGGAAATAATACCAGTGCTTAAATGTAATTTTGAAATAATCTTACCATCCATAAAAAAGAAACAAGTTCTGACTAAATAAGTAATCACGGTCACTTATATTGATACTTAGTATTGAACTATATATTTTTCTCGTCCAAAAAGACTACAGAGCCCCATTGTTAGCCCCATCAGCACTGCATAGCCTTAGGTGATCTGATGGGAATACCTGAGGTAAAAATGAGGAAAGGGGCAATTCTGGAAGCTTCTTGAGACCCCGTGCAGTGTGAGGCCATCAGCCGGTGCTTCTTTAGTTTGTAGACACTAACACACACACTTGTATGTATGTTGCAGCATACACGCATACACATATATATGTATAAATATGTACCCACATACACAGACGCACACACAAACACATACTCACACACATATTTTCCATATATACATGCGGTCATGTGGTTATAATGCATACATATATATATACATATATATGTATATATATATATATATATATATATATATATATATATATATATATATATATATATATATATATATATATATATATATATATATATATATGCATTTACACACACACACACACACACACACACACATGCACACACACTAACACACACACACACACATGCACACACACTAACACACACACACATACACACTATGTTTCTATTGAACTTTCACAAATAACAGCTTCAAGTATGTTTAGAATGCAGATATAATTACGCACATGAGTTATTTTATGAGTTATTAAAGATTACTGTGATTACAGGGTAGGAAATGGTATCAGAACAGGCAATGGAATAGAGAAT